TGCAAAGCAGGCCTATGTTCCAGCTTCCCAGAGGCCTGACATCAACAGAGTCCCCACACCTCCAGCTCTTCTCATTTGCCCTCTGCAGCCAGATACCATCTCCCAGAATGCTTTTCATTGTTTCTTAAAACCCAGAAAGATTTGAGATTTCTATGTATGTAAGAATAAAATTATTGATTGAGTAGAAAGAAGGTATTTTGAGCAGTCTTGTACTTTGAGATACATAAACACACACACACACACACACACACACACACACACACACCTATGAACATGTATGCTTATGTATATTTGACTCCCCTGTTTAAATGCATTTATTGGGCTCTCTATTCCTTGGTGAATAAAATCTAAAATAAACTTTTAGCTTAGCATTCACAACAGACTTCTCTGGCCTGACAACTCCCGTTATTTGTTCTGTCATCTAGTTGAACTCTTTATTAAGCCCTTCCCATCTGTTAAAACCCAGCCCAAGTCTCAACTCCCACAAGAAGACAGTCTTTTCTAATTTCCACATTGTTTTGAGGAACCATCATACTTTGTTTATATCTGATCACAGTATGTGTCGTGTTGTAGATTTTTGTATATTTGGTCCCCCTTTCCTGATACTACACTGTAAATGGAAGGTAGAAAGCTCATTATTATTAAATACAAAATTGATAGCACAATATATTAATGAAAACCAGAAGCACAGAATTTTGGGATTGCTTCATATTTAGGAGTCTTCACTGATATTGTTGATAGCTGCTGCCACCAATAAAGACTTATTCTATGCTGGACTGTGAACTAAGCATACTGCATAAATTAATCTAAGCTATTTCATTGGTGCCTGCTGATGTTCTTATTTATCTTAGTGTCCAGCATGGTACATGGCACAAAAGTGGATATTCAACAAGTTTGCTGAAAGATGAATTTGGGAGGTAAATTCATGTAGAACTTGAGACTTTTGAACCCCCTCTTCTGATCTTAATAAATGTATCATTAATAGAAATTATGACTGAAATAATTCATAATTCCACAATAAATCTAGTATATTCTAAACAATGGAGGGTATTTATGAATCATGAAGTGTTAATGAAAAATCCTGAATCATAATTTCAAAGTGTTTCTTGTTATGTTTATGTCACACAGTGAAAAATAACATTTTGATTTTTTTAAATCATAGACCTGATTTAAAAAATGAAGAAAAACATACTGAATGCAAACTTCTAAATTCAGAGCATGAGTTATCTCATAGGTTTACTCTATCATTTTATGTATCAACTTTTGGAAAAATAAACTACAAAAACTCTACAATACCACTACAGATATTTTCTGTATAAGTTGAATTTGAATGTTTATAAACAACAGTGTGAAGAACTAAGTCTGTCTGATTTTTAATAATGGTTTGTTCCTATCACATCCCAGCATAGTATGCACAGTCATCGGTGATAGTATACATCTTAGCACAGCTCACAAGTGTGCCCTAAAAGTCAGGCCACCGTGTGGACTTGGCTTTCAATTGAGATGACTTTGAGAAGCAGTTCAGACCTTGTATCCTCTCCCCCCTTTCTTTCTTACTTTGTATTTCTTTCCATAAGAAAGTTGAGTCTGAGCTATTTTAAGGATTTGGCCCACGGACTTGAACTTAGTGGTTTTAGTTTCACTGTTGTTGTTTTTCTTCTTTTAGGTAAAAAAATAAAGCACAGGAGACCTACCTGCCATGACCAGAAAAGCACTAAATCTTTCTTCTTTTAATTATATACTTAAAGATGTACTGGGATAGGTGCTGCTTTGTGTTTCCTGGAAAATGTGAGGTGTTGGTTCCCCTAAGCCCTTCTAACCTTTTCCTTTAAATAACTCACTGACTTATAATGGCCCGTAAAAGATGACATCATCAAGGCACCCTAAAATTAACCTACCTGAATATTAGTTTTCATTTTGTTTGTGGGGATTTTTTTTTGTAACCACAAGAATCGTATTTTTCCCCTGGTCTTACCCTCCATCCTACCCTTTGTCTATCATAGAATGCCCTCTATCTCACTTTAGCTAAAGAAGATTGACATAAACTTCTTTACCACTCTTAAGAGGTTGATGTGAACTTGAGGGAAATCATTTGACACTGAATTTATCCCATCAGAATAAACTGATCTTCGTTTACTTTCTCCATTCTCCCAAGTCTCTTTCAAGTTCTTATTGAAGTAGGTGCAAGAAGAAATAAACATTTATGTTCAAGTGCTTTCATTACTCAAATTAATGAATACATCACCTATGTAGCCTTGACCTTGTTTTCAGGTGTGGCAGGGTTTGAAGGCTGTTAAGTTTCTTTTACCTTAAGCAGACATAGTATTTCAGTTCTGAGAATTAAGATTAGAAATATAAGGAAGACATGATAAGCAATTAAAATCTTTAATCGTCAGAACTCTAGAAATTAGGACAGATGTACCATATCAGCACTTGCAAGCTGCTACCAAAAAATAACTACCATTACTTTTGTTCCAAAGTTTGTTTTAGAGATTCAATAGCATCCACTGAACTTTTCCCCTGACTATCTTAACACATCTTTTTCGTATTTGAGAGTCTGACCAGGATTGGAAACAGAGGTGTGAAAGAATTACAAGAGTGGTTGTTTTTGCAGTACTTTTGGCTAGCAGTAAAATAAGCAGGAAATTCTAAAATGTCTTGGGAAAGTTCATCCTCAAGAAAATTCAACTTGATTTTTTTTTAAACTAGAAGATTGAGAGAGGATAATATTTACATGAGAATAGGAACTTCTATAGACAGCAACAGTAATTGTAACTAACATCCTTAGGCCTATCCTATATGGTAGTTTCTAGGGTTTTTAACATTCCTCTACCTTTTTGTTCTCCTCTGGAGCCACAAACAGAAAAGTTTGATGGTGTTATTTTCATTTTCCAAACAAGAAAAGTTTATTTTGTCTCCTTCACCTGGTAGGTGCTCAGGCACATACTTTACAATTTCTACATCTAGTTATAGATCAAGGTTACCCTGAAAAACAACAGTTTTGAGCTGTGTTCCCATTATATTTTTGAGTCCAAATGAAGCCCCTTACTTTCTGAATAGTATTAAAAAGTATATTAAATGCTTTAATATGCATGTTGCTGCACTACCCTGTGTAGTTTTCTAGAATCAAGGTATTCAATACGTTGTTCTACTCTTTTCAGGCTTTATAAGAAATTAAAATTTGATGTTTATTTGAAAGTACAGAAGCAATAGGCTAATCCCAACGGCTAGAAGAATGATTAGTTTGTGATTAAAATGAAGAATGATTTGGATTCTAGCAGTTACAGAATGCCTATAGCTGTAAGAAGTACATATAAACAAAAATATATTTCTTATTATTCAGAGTTTGACTAGAATGAACTTGTTGACTTAAAATCTAGTTTGTGAAAGCTGCCTCACACATCTTTATGTGATAAAGTTTCAAAGATATTATTACAAAGTCCAAGTGATAATGCTATGTTTGAATCAGTATGATGATCCTTTCTAAATATTTAATATCACCCTCTACAAAGTGTGCACATATCACATAACTTTTACATACTTAAAATATATCTTGGGGCTGGGGATATAGCTCAGTGGTAGAATACCTTCTTAACATGTACAAAGCCCTGGGTTCAATCCCCAGCACCAGTAATAATAACAGTGTATAATAATCTTAAATAAAATTAAAACAAATATACACAAGACCCACATGAAGATGCAAATATTATATGTACTTAATAAACACAAGAGTCCCTTATAACACGTGGATAATTCTTGTTATACTGCTGGACTGAAGCTCAATGTAAAAGGTAGAACATAGAATATTTCAGAACTGTATAACTAAAAAAATGGTGTATTCATTCTTCAGCTATAGACATATACAAATGTTTTTAAACTCATGCATTTTATTTTAATGCTTGATAAGGAAGTTGTCAAATTTTATAGTTAAATCCTGATATAGAGGCATACATAGAGTATTCCACTTTCATGGTTTATATATAAAACTTTCCAAGAGAGTTATGGTTAATTTTATATGCCAGCTTGATTGGGCTGCAGAGTGCTCAGACTAAATATTATTTGGGGGTGTTTTCATTTATGAGTGTTTCATTTATATTGGTGGACTCAGTAAAGTAGGTTAAGGGAGCACTGTCCAATCTGTTGAGTGTCTGAATAGAAAAAAAGATGAACGAAGGAGATATTTTCCCCATTTTCTTCCTGTTTATATGTTTGAACTTGGACATCTCATCTTCTCCTGCTCTTGGACTGGGATTTACACCATTGGCTCCATTTTTTAACTTGGAATGAAACTACACCATTGGCCCTTCTGAGTATCTAGCTTGCAGATGGCAGGCTGTGGGATTTGTCAGCCTCTGTAACTACATGAACCAATTCCATATATATATCATGTATATCATTCTGTTTCTCTGATGAACCCTAATACAGATACATTTCAGTTTCATGTGAGGAAGAATCTACTACTATTAAAAATAGCTATTGGAACCTTGATTGGACTCCCTGGAGAGGCAGTTTCCTGTCAATAGGGATGGTCCTGCGGATGCTGTAGTGGGGGTTCTAGCATTGGATAAGTTTTGCCTAGATTATCTTGGAAATCCTTATGGTTCATTGCTGATGGATGATATAAGCTTTAAAAAAGAATCTCAGAATATTATATCTGGAAAGAACTTCAGAAAGTACTTACTCCTACTCATTCAATTTTCAAAGGAGGAAAATGAGCCTTAGAGAATGTAGAAGTCTTGTCTAAGTTCATCTAATATGTTTTAGGGAATCTGACAGGAGGATATCTATTTGTTTTTATTTAGAATGTACTATCTCATTGAACTATCTGCCTATGTAAGAAAATTAGACACCTACTGAATGCAGAGTTTTTTTTTATTTCACATTGATTAACCCTCATCTCACATGTATAACTCACAAAGAACCTGTTTTATATAGGGATAACTGGAAGTTAACTATATTTTAATTTTCTATTCCTTTGTTTCATATCTGTACATTTACAGCAACGAGAATATATCTCATGGGGTTCATCTTGTGAGTCTTCTAGGAAAAGCAAAAGGGAAAGTCAACTTTATGCTACAAATGAGAGGTAAGTATAAGAGTTCTCCATTGACTTCCCTGTATTATTACCCATTTCTTATGAGATATGAGCAGGATGAGCAAGACTGGCATTCAGTCAGTAGGCACCAGAAAATCAAGTGGGCTGGTAAAATACTGATGAGTTCCAAGCTAAGTGGTAATTAGGCACTGCTCTGAGCCTCTGAGTAACCCTACTCTCCTCACCCCTCCCAATGTCCTGACTTCCCGACTCTTTTCCCTACATGCGTTTCTTGATATTGTATCAACTGAAGGGTTAACATTTTCTCAGTTGATTGGGTACTGGAAATTAATTCCTAGCCAAAATGATGTAAGTTCTTTGACAAATTTCTTTAGGCCATCTGAAGCAATCTCCAGGATCTATTCTTTTAGTGAATCAGGTTATTTGGTAATGACCATGAAGTGGTAGGAAAAAAATTTTGTCTTTGCCTTTGTTGCTATACTGTTTGGGGAAATATTTTTTTTAATATTTATTTTTCAGTTGTAGTTGAACACAATACCTTTATTTTATTTATCTATTTCTGTGTGGTGCTGAGGATCAAACCCAGAGCCTTACACATGCTGAGCCACAGCCCCAACCCTGAGGAAATCTTTATGAAGACCTTTTGTTAAGTCTTCAAACTATCTTTTATTGTATTAAAAATATTTTTAAGCATTCTCATATATGTTCATAACCACATCATTTATTTATGAGAGGGTTTTTCTGGTTAATTTGAAGGGATGGATAAAGTTAAAAGATTTTCTCTGAGCTGGGTATGGTGATTCATCCCTGTAGTTCCAACTGCTCAAGAGACTGAGGTAGCCAAATTATTTAAGTCACAAGTTAGAGATTAGCCTGAGCAAAATAACAAGACCCCATCTTAACAACAACAAAATGATATTCTCTTGAAACCTTGGATATTATAGATATAAGGTACTGAAATACTAAAATAGTCATCATTTATGGAGTGCTCATTAAGACTGTGTTTAGTCCTATACATGTATCCTCTCACTGAGTTCTTATAACAACCCTATGAAAAATGCCCTTTTATTCTTCCCATTTTAGAATTGAGGAAATTGGATGTTCAGAGCAGTGAAGTGACATATAAATAACATCAGTTTGCAAGCTGAGAACAGGATGTGACTCTCCCATCTTTTTGGTACCATCAAAGGTTGTATTGGAATCAGAAGCTAGATTTTGGCTCTGTCTTCCTAGATCACTTGGGCTCAGCTTTCATCACAGGCTGTCACCCAACCAAGGCCATCTCTAGCCCTGGACCAAGGCTATTCTTGTCATGGGACTTGTTCCTAAGATCCTTAGCTCTGTAAACTCAGCCTTGATCCAAAAAACTCCCACATTGGAGTGCTGTCTAGCAGCCATGGAGACAGGCAATATTATAGATGACACTTAGTAGAGTGTTCTGAACTGTAGAGTCCGGTAGCAGCTGTATGACTAGGGGAGAAACCTCTGCAACTCAAAGCCACGGAAAAAAATCTTGGCTCCATCTCACCTTCTTCATTGGCCCATCCTTTCTGTTTCCACCTGTTCCATTGTTTCATTTCTGCCTCATACACATTCTCTTCTTTTTAAAATCATTTTTCTGGATCAACATAGACATATATTATTGCAATATATAAAGCACTCTTTGAATTATGGAGCTATTAAATTATGAAAATTAATTAGGAGTGGACATCCAATATTTTTTTTTCTTTTTCTTCCTCCACAGGATTATTTCAGTACTTTGGACATAGTGGGCAATGAAAAATTTATGTAAATGAATTGATTTTATACTTTTACAAAGAAATATGTCATGGTGTCTAGTGATGTTTAGAGAACTCTTTAGAAAAGCTTTTTGATTGAGGAAGAAGATTCTAAAATACTTAGTAGATTCATTACCAATAAGAGCAAAAATGGAAAGGAAAGCTTAACTTTGATTTAAATAATGAGAACAGGTTCTTATTCACTGGAAAACTGTATTTTGCTTCATTTCAGTTAGTATCTAAGAAGTCATTTTTTATTCCTAGGAAGCCTTAATTTACCTCTGCCATTCTGTGGTAGCCCAGGAATACAACAGATGCCAGCCAGGGTACCTGCGTGCTTGGTAGAATATTTGTTTTATTTACATGCACTCCTGGAGGCCATGCCTTTGATCGGACTATGTGCCATTTACTTCAGTGGGCACGATTTCTGGGATTGTACTTAAGATATGTATGCTAAAACAAGTTTCCAAACCCCGACGGCTTAACACAACAAAAAAATGTATTTCTAACTCACAGCAGAACCAAAGTGGATGTTCCTTGTCAATGAGCAGTCTATCTTGTGGTCCGCAACGGACTCCAACTTTTTCTACCATCTTTTAGGGCCCCAAATCTTCTGCTGGCTCTTCCACATCCATCCAGTAATTGAGGGAATAGAAACACATGAGAGTTTTCTTAATGTTTCAGCTTGAACCATAGAATAATAGCATAATGTGGGGATCCAGTCATACAGCCACATCCAAGTGGATAAAGGCAATGTCACCCTTCTGTGTGCTCAGGGGTAGAAGGAAAGAGTGTTGGTGACCACATGTCGATCTCTGCCATGGGATGGTCTGGCAGGCACCAGCCAAGCCTGTTTTTCAATAGTGGTTAGCTTAGACAATGCTTTACTTAGAGATATAAGACTTCAGAATCAAATAAAGCAGTTATCTTGTTAAGTAATTCTTTGCTAATGGTGCTATTAGTTTTCTTGTACTTTCATTATGAGTGATTTTCCTTCAACTTTGAGAGAAGAATCAAACAATTTTAGAGGATGCAATAAACGCTCTCTAAAGAAACATCCTATGTAATTTCTTGCCAAGAAGTTTACAAAATTCAGGATTTTGGTGCCAAAAAATATATAAAAGCTCAAGTTACAAGCATTGAAAAAGTAAGAAAGTGGGATTGAGTTAGTTTATAGAGTGCCTCTTTGATTTGATTACCAAAAAAAAAAAAAAAAGATAATGATAAAGAGAGCTTGTTGTTATTGCTTTCTTCTACAGATTTTCTTAGGAAATATACTTTAAGATGTTCTGCTTTTTACTGTCAGGCAGATCCACAATGATATCAGCAACAAGGTGCTCTAACCTGGCCATTCTCTGGGAAACAAGTCTGGTAATAAAGATTTTGCTTGGTATGGTTTCTAGAAAGAAAAAAAAAATTCCAGAGATATCCAAATGGGAAATTCTGGCTTCAGAGAAACCTTAATGAGTCAGTTAAAGGAGCAAAACAGCACTATACCTAGCAACTAGCACACTTCTGGCCATATTTATTCATTTAAAATTATTTTATTAAACACTCTGTCAGGCACCATTTCAAGTGCTGGGGATGCAGCAATGAATAAAATGGACAAATATCCTTGCTTTCATGGAACTTAGCTTTGTGCATGAACTGTAAACAATATTCTGTGATGATAGGTTACAGAGAAACCCAACAAGAGGCGATTAGAAGGTTTAGAGGGCTGTACTTTAAAATAAAGGACCTACTCCTTTTTAGTGAGGACTTGAAAGAGCTGAGGTATGAGCAGTGTTTACATCTCAGATAAAGGAGGCTTCTGGCAGAGCTAATTGGGAGTGCAAAGGCCCTGAGATAGGAGTGAGCCTGGCTTCTTCCAGAAATAGCAAGTAGGCCAGTCTGGCTGGAGCAGTCAAGAAAGGCAAAGAATTAGGGCAGGAGGTGAGAGAGGAGACTTGGATACTGAAGGGGGCAGGACAGAGAAGTTCTTGGAAGATTATAGTAAGGACTTTTTCATTCACTTTGAGTGACACAGGGAGCTAATTAAAAATATTGGTCAGAACGTCATTTTTCAACAGGGTCAGTCTTTCAGCTAAGCTAACAATATACTGAATGAAGGGACAATGATGGAAACAGGAGTCTCCTGCAATAATCAAAATCAAAGGGATAGTGGTGTGGACCAGGGTAAGAGCCAGATTCTGGATATGTTCTGAGACTAGAGTCAGCAGGACTTTCTTATGGAATTAAAATAGGGTGGAGGGAGGTGAAGGAAAGAGAGGAGCAAAGCAAGACTCCAGGATGTATTGGCCTGAGCCAGTGAATGGACGGAGTTGTCATTTACTGCACTGGAAAAGACTAGGGAAGGAGGAGTTTGGGGCAGATGGGGAGAAGCTTGGTGAAGAGCAGTTGAATTTGTGGTACCTATGAGATATCCTACTGGGGGTGGGATGTGCAGTGAGTGTGGAGGTCAGGCAAGAGGTCAGACTGAAAATATAATTCTGGGAGAGCTCAGAGGTGATGTTGAGAGCCATGAGCCTGGGTGAGATTACTAGACAGCATGCCAACTCAAAGAAGAGGTCCAATGACTGAGTCCGGAGAAACTGCTGGCTAGGAAATGTGAGGGAAACAGAAAAGGAGACTGAGACGGAGTGACAATCAGGTAGGAGGAAGGCCAGAAAAGTAGTCCTGTTTTAGAGCTACTCTAAGCTAGAAAGCCTGTTTCCTAAAGAGGTAGCCACTGTGTCAGTTGACAACTAACCAATTAAGTGAGAATTGGGTGAGGAGCTTCTTGGTGCTCTTGCTAAAGCAACTTCTATAGAGTGCTAAAGAGTGTGTGTGTGTGTGTGTGTGTGTGTGTGTGTGTGTGTGTGTATGTGTGTAAGGGGCTCTGAAGTGAGATGGAGAGAGACTGGGTAGAGGGAATTAGAGGCAGTAAGTGCACATAATACTCAGGAGAGTTCTGTGATAGAGGCAAGAGGAAACAGGACAATACCCAGAGCAGGTAAGTGACATGAAGAAAAGGTTGTGAAAAATAATAAGAGGAGTATGTTTGCTAAAGAGTAGACTGAGAGAGAATTGAACAGTGTAGGAGAGAGGGATGATTTGGGCAAGAGGGGATGGGATCTGGGGCACAAGGGGGAGGTTTGGCATAAGACAGGGTCATAGATTCATCTCTTTTATTGGGACTGATGGCAGAGGCCTTAGGAGGCATTGAAGTTTAAGAAGAAAACTGTACAAAACAATCTTTTAGGAGAGAGAGAG